TTCAGATCATTTCTCTACGATTATGAGTTAAATTCAGGAAAATATGAACTCGATGTTGTCAGCAATCCTGCTGGTATTTGCGATGTCTCGAAGCGGTGAAACATTTTGGCCAGGCAATGGTTGTTGCGGGGGATATAATCAAAATTGGTGTGGACAAGGAGGAGGAGGAATAGTACCATATTGGTGTGGTGGAGCACCGATACCCGTGAGTTGCTGATATTAATCGCATAAATTCAGGAAATAATCATTGGAATTTTGAATTAAATGAATCATTATGACAGTTATATCACTATTATCTTATTGTCGTTGTGTGGATCAATTCACAATCATTAACATTCCTAACATGACATTTTTATTATGACTGCTGCTAAATCACCATCAAAGACGAAAATTTTCTGAAGTTCCGAGAAAGAGAATACTAAAAAAGCTGGAAACCTTAAAAATCTCGTCTGCAATCTCCTGAAAACAACTGAAATGTTGAAAATCTGAAGGATATACCATACGTAAACTATACGTTCAAGTATATCAACTCAAGTCTTTTTCAAGTTTCCAGTTCACTCTTGATCTTGATCTGAAACTGAATTCAGGTCATCACAACAACCACCACTGCTGCTCCAACCACCACAGCACCTGCCCCCACAATTTATTGGTGCTGTAATCCTTATTCATCGTTAGTTTATCATCTTTATTCATTTCTTCAACACGAAAATGTTCTCCATATTTTGCATCAATTTCCTAAGTTCACCATTTGTGAGCTTTCTCCGTGCTTGGGCCTCATAATTTTTAGCACCGACATCTGATCCGGCAGATTTTGAACTATCTGAAAATTGGTTTTGTTATCACTGAATACGGCTTAGCTTTTGAGAAAAAGCTAAATTTCTAATGGTACATCATGCACTTGAGCAATTCCATCAGATCGCTGAGCTGTTGATCTCAATGTTGATCATTAGTGTGCTGTAAGAACATAGGATCGGAAATTATCCTATGTTCTTACAGCACTCAGATTTTGTCCTCAAACATAAGTTCCTTATGCCCTGAGTTGTAACCTCAGCCGTGTGAAGAATACACCTTTGAGCTAGTTAAGAGGTATACAAGATGGCAAATCATTCACCTTTTAGGTCATGCTATCAAGGATACGGTGGATGCGGAGCCGGAGGATATGGCGGTGGTTTCGGCGGGGCTGTTGGCGGAGGCTTCATGGGAGGTTTCGGAGGTGGATTCGGGGGAGCAGGAGGGTTCGGCGGTGGATTTGGAGGAGCAGGAGGTTTTCCAGGCGGAATGGGTGGATCATGTGGATGTTGCGGTTGTGAAGGCAAGAAGAAGAAGAAATAATAACGCAATCAGCCTGATTTGTTTTATTGCAATGATACTTTATGATACCTCATCATTAAAATTTCTCACCGTCTTTATGATACCTCATTGAATTGATGGAATGTATTGAGTATTCGCCAATTTGATAATGAATTTTTGATGTGACACTTTCGATTGGAATAAAGATTCTTCAATAAATGCTCTTTCGTGTTGTATATTATAGTTTCACTTGTTTCATTACGGCAATATAACATCTGCAAACGATCTGTATCATTTAATCTGCTTATCAACATTTAATTTCTCCGTACCGTTGATTCAACAGAATTTCTACTCTCAAAAAATCAGATGCACTGTGGATCGGTAATGTTTGCTTTTAGCGAAATAGGTGATTTGCCAGAAGTATGCCAAATAGCTGAGCGACCATATTATACTATCAAATTTTACATGTCTGATCTAGATGCCGTTTAATAATTAACTACTACAGATGAATCTTCTAAGAATGTTAAGAGTACCAATTCAAATTAAGTGTGTTCTCAGATTTGCCAAGGAACATACTGGTTTATTCACACGATTGAATTCAGTAGATTTGCTTTTTTCCGAAAATATATATGTTGGATAATGTCAAGATTTTACGCATCTCACAAATCCGTTGTTAAAAATCCGAAAAAAAAACCAATTTCATGATCTTAATGTATCGAATATGTCTCTCTTTATCCATAGAATACCTATGCCTTCGTTCGATATTTATCTGGATGTATTGGCAAATCTCTTTCTTGAGATACATCCCCATTCATGAATCATAAATATACTTTAATCATGAATACTTTAATTCATGAATACTTTAATCTGTTCCATATATTGCTTTTATATTATCTTTATGATACGTCACTGATCATAAAGACAATTGATTTCATACTTAACGTTGCTCTGTTACATTAATAGAACATATTGAAGAGAATAGATTGCGAGCGATGAAAAAAAATGGAAATATTGTAAGAAAAGAATGAAAAAATTTTGTAAAATAATCGGTAGTGAATGAGAATTTTCGTAGGAATTCAACAAAGAATGAGAGCAATTTCAATCAACCGAAAAAGATTGAGAGCACTCAGACACGCTAAAAACCGAGAGTTTTTATAGAATGAGAATTTCTGTAAATAGTATCTGGCAGAGAATGAGAATTGCCGAAGATTGAAGCATTCAGAATCTGCAGCGAATTCCCGATAAGTTTGGATATTTCCAAGATTGCACAGCATTAATTTAGAGAGCTATGAAAGTTGGCTCCTTAAGACATTTGAATAGGCGCCAGTGAAATTTGCATACTGATGAATTGTTCATTGCGTAACGCCTCGGGTTCGCTTAAGATTATGCGGATCTCGTATATCCGTTGTAAGCCTTTCCCGATCTCGTTTTCGGATTTGTGCTTGTCGGGTGATGTTTCGCATATTTCCGAATGTTCTTCATTAATTTACTCTTTGTTTTCATTATTAATTCATTCAATTACTCAGAATCTTAATTATAATTTACTTTATCTCGTGAAATTAGTTTTATTAGTTGTTCTTTTTTTTTAAAAGTTAGTTGGTTTGTTTTCTTCTTTTCAGTTCGTTTATTAGGTTATTCAGATTATCTTATATAAGCCGTGATTCCTGTATTTCATAATCAAATTATCAAATGTTCACCCTTCGTATCTCAGGTTTTAATTTTGTTTCATTCTGGACTATTGTTTAACAGTCTTGGCCACTTGTACTATACAAAAGGTATAAATTCTACACAGTTTTAACATGTCAATATAACATCCATTTTAAAGTTCGAGCTTATGTTCATGAAGTACCGGAAATTTGTTTCGTTTACTTGTACCGTAGCCGTTGCATCATCACAGATAGAAAAGTGCGCGTATAATCTGTGGAGATCAGCACCTTGAAACTTCTAGATTTCTTGTTGTATTTCTCGGATTTCAGATATCCCTCTCAGTCATACCCGGTTATCGTTGGTCGATCAGTTTCTTCGTTACCGAACTGATTGAGAAGCGACGAGATTGAAGATGAGTGAGGTTGGCATTGCAAACGATAAAGAGGACTGTGAATTCCCAGCAATGCAGGAATTTCTACAGCATCAGCAAGCGTAAGTTCCCATGTCGAATTCTCCGAAAATCTGCGAATTTTTAAAAGATTATTTTATTTTTGAATTCCTCGATGCATTTTTGCCTTTGTCATGATAATTTTGTCAAAATTGCTCTCCACAGAAAGTGAGATTTACAAAATTATAGATTTGCAATGTAATTTCATTATCTTTGAATTTTATTTGTATTGAATTTTGTTTTCAAATGATATGAATCCATTCGATCATATTAACGACAAAGTCTCCAAAAAATTGGACAGAGTAAAAAATTCTCAGTAATGTTTATGAATTGAGGAAGTTTTTGGAATTGCATTGGTATTTTAGTTTGTTGTTCACTGTTTTTTTGGTGAGAAATTAGTTGATTTGTGTAAAAAGTAATGAAGCGATTTAATAACTTACAACAAACAGTGGTGGTGTATTGATCACATTAATCATTTGACTTCTTGAATTTATATCTCCTTTAAACTCTCACCCCACAGTTACTCCAGTTAATCGAATACCGTTTTTACAATCATTCGCAATACAGACATACACACAAACGAATTAATTTCATCGTTTTTTCCGCAATTTTTTCCACTTCTTGCGGAAAGAATTGGAAAATCTTATTTGCTGCAATTTATCCTTTGATCAGTAATCTTCATTCACTCTATTCATCTCTTCGATTATTTCTGATAGTCGATTGTGCGTCAGTTGTCTAGCATCAAGCGATTTGCATTCCATTCATGCACCGCGTCACTATCCCTCGTACAGTTTCGTTTACTGTCAACTTGTCTCATTGTATTCTCTCGATTTCCGAAATATTTTATCGTCCACTCACAATTTTATATTGAAATTTCTGGCCGAACTTGAAATTACACAGAATCTCCATTTTTTTGTCGCATGGTCTGAATGATATTGGTGTATCGATATTGGTGATATTGTTATTGTTGTTATTAATAGAAAACAATTGTTTTGAACAAACCAAAACGTAATGCTTACTTTAATAATTAATTGTATAACTAGCACATTCATAAGTACAGTACAAAGCAGCTGGGAAATGTTACACAGCTAGTATAATAGTATGTTTAATTAAACATCGCTCTTATTTGCTGTAATTTTAACTACGTAAGTCTGTATTCTGTACGCAATTCTTTATATTGAGGACATTACATTACTATAATATTAACAAGGTGCCATGATTCACTCGTTTAATGTTAGAAGATAGGATAGGTTAGGTATTCGTTCGATATCTGAGCAGAGTGTTCAGTGGGAGTTTATCAGATGAGTCCGGAGGTAAGGAGACATTTGAGGGGTACAGAATTTATTAATTCAGTATCTTGTTTGAGACTATTGCTAGTGTTTAGTTATATTATGAAAGTAGTGATGAATAGAGTATATAGTAATCATCCTTGATATATGGTTAAGAAGTTGGTATTTTTCGCAGTAACTTTCTTTTACTGTTTATAATAATAGTAATGATTACATTGCAATGGATGTGGATGTGATTTCCGAAGGCAGTCGATTAATCTCGATTGATGGCATTGTCGTGTCTTTTGATAGTATTTTTGATGAAATGTCAGTCAAATTTCATAACGATTAGATGATTCTTAGTTAGCTCATTTCATTTTCTGATTATTTTATGAGAATATGCGAAAATTATGTGAAGGAATTGATTGAGAGGTTGAGAGTTTTTATCCTTCTCAAATGATCTGCCATTGGAACGATCCGTCACATGCATTTTGCGTGCATTCATGCTTATCATTGAGCCATCAAAAAAAAGAAAATGAATTGAATGTTATGTTATCCGTGAAGTGAAATGAATTGAAGGGAGGCAACTGGGTGTTTGTCAATAATTTTTCATGTGAAAACTCTTAAAAAGTTTCTTTCATGGGAGCTTATCATTGTTGATAATGATATGTAAAACGATTACCGTTACTTTTATTACTGATATACATTTATTTATTTATTTATTGTTATCATTTATTTACATTCATTCATTGATATTGTTTATTTGCAAAAAAAAATCATTCATTAATATTGTGTCGTTTGCAAAAATTTTATGGTTCCGAAGACTGTCGTATTGTATTCGTATGGTATTGCAGAAAAAAAGTATGAAAACATAAAAACACACTTAAGAAGATAGGTAAAAATTGAGTAACTGTATTGGAAAACGAAATGAACTGGAATGGTTTAAAGTAAAGTGGTAAGGAAAATGGGTAGATTTCGTGAGAGATTGGGAGAGATTTGGATGGTTTTTGTTGGATTTATTTGTTTACGAGGAAATGGTTCAAACGTTTCATTGATTTTACAATTGCTTATATTATTTCATTGCATCGTTCGTTTATTTATTTATTTTTGAATTGATATGTTTTAGGTAGTTTATTTCATTAGAGGTTTTTACTCGCTGTTTATTTCATTTGCTTAACCTTTTTGTCTCATTCGATTCGTGTCTCTTTACTCAAGAAGTAATAATCAATTATACGTACTTCCTTCCTTTCGCACCTGTGCACTGCATTGTTTTCTGTTATCGTTGCTGTTGGAGACGTTATCACTGGCGCTATTATCATTGCTATCACTATTATCAGTCTCACTGCAATACTCGTAACCATCCAAACTCGCACACATAAACACATAACACTGGTTTATAACATCAGTCTCTCGTGTTGTTTTTTGACTGCAGTGATTCAAGATGTTCACAGTAAGTGTGCATAACAGACGGTTGTAAATGATAATATAAATTTTCGTTGTGTTGCGATAGAAATGAACCTTTGAAATATTGGTTGTTATGTTGTGTTGTTGTATTCGAATGCTGCCGACGCAATACTTTGCTCTCAGATTTTTTATTTGTTTAGCTTTATTGTTTACAGTTTTGAGGTTTTGTTTTGTATTGATGTTGATATGCTTGCCGTAGTAGTTGAATGCTGCCT